TCGCACGGCAGCTTCCCTTCCTCTAACCGAGGCTTCGGCCCTGGGCGAAGACGGTCAGATTCGCTGAGAGGCTGTCTGCTTTGACAATAGCCCGCGACTCTGACCATCTGCGCTTTTGGCCTGAGCTCTGGTTAGAGGAGGTAACGCTGCTGCCAACAAGCTCCCATTCCGCGGAGTTTCGATACCGTTTGCCTGTTACTTTCAGCTTTAGCGCTGTTGTTAAGAATATGGTTTGTAGGCAGCAACTCCCCGTGCGACGACAAAGGTATGTGACGATGGGGTCGCTCACCACGGGGGTGCCGAATTTTGCATTGCCCACACTCCATCCACTTGAGCACACGCTCACAACAGCTCATCACGTCTCTCCATTGCAAAATATTTTCGTGGTGAAATACTAATTTTGCAAGCAATGGAAATTTCGCAACATAGCTATTATACCTTGAAGACGGCAGGTTCACAGCATACCCTTCCCGGGCAGCAGCAAGACACTATCAAGAAAATTTGCTACTAGTTGTGGTTTGCACCCTGGGCATAGAAATGGTAGGAAACGGAAAGTTCAGTAAGGAAAAACTGTCAATAGTTTTGCTTGAGGAATCCTTTTTAGGGTGTTCCACACAATCAGTCCAGTCTCCAGATGTGAAATCAAGAGTGAGTCAATGAGGGGCACGCCCTTCGTTCTTTCCATGTTCACACACCCTCTTAGGACAGGATGGTCCCGTCCACAATATAACCTCGCAGCTCGAAAGTTCGTGAAGAAAGCGAGACCCGTCTGTGACGAAAGCAACGCCCCGCCCACTGTCCGATGCAGCACCTGTCCCTCATTTCTGAAGGCGTCCTGGAGGCGAGGTTGTCCTTGTACTATCCTCTCCAGTTTGAGTGGTGACAGTGTGATGATGTCTTCTCCACTCCTGGATCACTATTCACCAGTAATTGTTGGCTGACCAGCTCAAGTCGGCACTTTTGAACACGTGGCGTCCCCTACAATCCCTAGAAGTCAACGGCACTTAGGAAACCACGGAGAGGTGCGAGGCTCGACAGTCAGAGTCAATTGAGTCTATCTGGAGTTCAGCTTGTCCATCCTCGCCCTTTCTTCGCCCAATCTTTAAAGACAATTTTGAATGTTAATTTGTAGGTCAACTAGTACACTGCACTTCTGTTGTTGAACTCTGTTACTTATGGCGTGAATCATGGGTATGCCTTCACCGGTGGAGAGTTCGTTTCGGCAAGTGATTCAGAGCTGGGAATTAAAACGCTGTGAAGGGTAACGGTAAGCGGTAACAACTGATGAGAGCTCATAGGAGCTTTGTAGAAGTAGCCTCACACAATTCCACGTGCGGAGGTGGCTCACCATGCAATAAACTGAAAGAAGGGGAAACACTCTTGATTAGTGGTATGTTCAGCAGATAGGTAGGTTATACGTGGTGTTTACAATGTAGATTTATTCATTAACAGTCTTTTTCAACAAGAGGTCTCTCAGATGCTTCTAACAGATCAACCGTGATGTGTGTGAACAGCTTTTTTAATGTGATGTTGAGAAGTTTGTAATGCAGTGTGTTCAGGACCATCCGCTTTCCAGACGATCCCTGTGCGATTCAGTAATGTCCACCGACATCTAAAAAATGACGAAAGTGGCATATTTTTGGATGACACATGCAGGGAGAAACATCTCTGGTGATTGTTGAAAAAAATGGCTCTTTTTGTCACGGCCATTCCATTGTTAACGAAAGCAAACTTGAATCTTTACGTGGCGAGACAACGAAGAATCATATCAAAGCAACCTAAGTAAGTATTGAACATTGTGAGGTGTGCTTAGCCTCGTCATTCATCGGGCATAGAATAAGTTGCGACCAGTATAGTTTTCCCACAAGTTCCTTGTACCCTAACACATGAACAGGAGTATTGCACCACCTACAGCAAGACTTACCATCGCGCCATCAACCTACTTCTTTTCCTGCGTACTGCCGGACGTAGTTTTTTACGGCCCACAGGATCAACCCGAAAAATATGCCCCCGAGTTCCACTGATTTTCAGTTGGGATTTATCTACGGTGAGGGAATGAGCGGGAACGAAATTCACTGCTGTGGTATCTTAGAATCTTACGCTTGCATCCTTTACAAGTGGATCATGGGTGAAAGAGATGAGAAAGTCCCAACGAATTTCTGCTTTTTCGTGGATTTTTATCCCAGCGTCTAATCGTGGGTTCATAGGCACTGATTCGTATTGCATTATGTATTGTAATTTCTCGATGAAAAATGGCCCACGATATCTTAGTAAAGCTCCTCAAGTCAGAGAGTTATTTTAGGGGCACAATCACACTAATTCTCGATGGCCGGTCGCTGGACTGTACTAGTAAGGGAGGGAGCCCTAATACCCGAAAACAGATTCCATACGTATTCTATGCTCGTTTAGCAGTACTGTTTCCCAGAAAGATCAGCCTAATAATTTTTCTCTCCAAATTTAGTTTCGATTACGTGACCTTTAGCACACCTACAAGTTAAATGGAATGAGCCCTTTTCGGCGCTCTTTGGACTCGACAAAAGCGATCACTCAGTAGGAATAACCGACACATAAGTGTATCTAGGCGTAAAGTAAAATGGAATACAGGATGCGGTTAGAGCTCAAACCCTATAAGACGCGCTTTACAAAAGAAAACAGTCATGGCGAATTCCGCCCTACTGCTATGCTGAAAGGAAAATCAGAAAAAAGTTTCATTCAGTATTGCTCATTTTCCATGAGGCTAGAAACTATTTGCTAAAGTATGGCTGATCCGCAGTATACGACCTGTCCTCAAACTAGTCTCATTTGGTAAAAGAACCAGCCTGAAAGGGGGCTGTGACAGTGCGTTTCAACTGCTTCAATTGTTCTCTTTTTCTTGTCAACACCCTTGCATTAGCAACATTCAAGCCTGACTGTTTTGACTCCTCCCGCATTCGAACTTCTGTTTTAGGGAATTATGGTTGGTGCTCTCGTTGTCAATGGAAATAATTTAAACTGTTGCTTGGAAAGGAATCATGGGAAGCTTATAATTTCTCCTCCAGAGTTGTGAGGCTCTAATCTCTTGACGGAAAAGGTCATCGTCATGTCTACCCTGGTGTTTACCTTAGGATGGCAAGCTAATGTCTAATTATACTCTGAGATACTACACGCTTTTGTTACAGTAGCGCAAGCCGTTTGCTCTGAATGTTGAGTCATCGAAGGAAAGAATGTCTACTGTTACCTGTTTCCTGAAGACAATTCCTGCGATAAAGTATTACGGGTGGATAGGCGCTCAGTCATGGACCATAGCCCATGGAGGACTCCCCAGTGAAGAAAGAAGCGAAAAAACTTTGAGTTCATCTTGAACAGGGACCTTCCCCTCATAGCAGTGAGGCCGACGCCTGGACGAGTTTTTCGGACGTCAGACAAGCCCAGTCAGCATTTCCGGCAAAAGCGTAAGAAATGGCCCTAGGATGTTCCAGACAACGCTGTGTACACAAGCAATTCCGCTTGTGAGCCAATGTCTTACAGAGTGGAAGTAACCGTGTGGAGTGGAAGTTGCAATGGTTGCAATACTCACGCTCTAGCTTCTTTATCTCGCCGTTTCGAGTGAAGAAAGTGGTACATCCTCTGCGAATGCGGACAACGATGCCAAATGCACGGAGGCATTTCGCGGACCCTTGATCGCGAGAACTGTCCTTGAGCATTTATATTCGGAGGAGGACGAGTTACAAGCGTTTTGGTAATTGTTTTCTGTTACTAATCAAGCCTGCCCTTGTGATCTTAGTGGACCAGACTATGACACAAGGAGGGTTCAATTCCCTTCACACAGGAATAAAATCTTTGGCTGGAACCCATCAAACTGCTCCCAGAGATTCAGCAAGACGTTCAGCAACGTGAAAACTCCACCAAGTGTGTTTACTGAGTAATCGGCGTTGGATTTGGTGTGAGTCCGTGACTGCATGCGATATTGCATTTTATCTTACGCCTAAATACATGTGAGTCGGTTGTCCCCTACTGAATGATCGTTTCGGTTCTGATTTGAAGTTGCCTACCTATTACAGTTGGTTCAAACATGCCTAATTTCTCTGTTCACTGAGGTAATTATGACCAATATTGGTAGAGGTGACCTATGAAAACATTGAAAAATAAGCAGATAAAGAGATTTTTGCAGGTCTCCGTTTCGATTATTGAAAAATCCAACTGACGGATTATCGGGATTGTTTTTTTCTCTTCCGTGCCTGATCATTGTATATCGAGCGAATTTGGCATCATAGCGGTCCACCTTGTACCCAGCCATTATCACTCTGAAGTATCGTACAAAGTGATGCCAAAAGAATTAGATTTATTAGTTCACCTGGTCTGTATTAACGGTGCAGCTCGTACCTTTTGTACATGTCGTCGTCTTCACCACCCCATCCCCAATATCGGTTGGAAAAACCGTTGCTCCTTTCAAACTGATCAGTGGTAAATATAGAACTTGTACCGAACATTCCTTCATAGATGAGCCTTCAAAAGTCATTGATGGTTACAAAGTCACAGATAGTAGTGTGTTGTCATCCTAGTAGACTTGATCAAATAAATGTGTAGCATTAAGAGCAAAGTGAGACTGGCTTGATCGTACTGATAATTGAACTTGTTCATCGCTACCGCCAAATGTCGTGGGTTTTTCGTGGGACAGGTATGTAAATTCCGATCGTCTTCAGGTAGCAGATCCACGTCATGGAACACATAGCATTCCCAGTTGTACAACTTTCTAGCTTCCACATATCCAGCATTTAGCAACTGCAACAATCCACCATAACTGCAAAATATATCGGACAAAATAGAAATTTTGCGCTGTTAATGGAGTATCACTAGCAGTGTCTGTGAAGTGTTTCGGTTCGAAGCAGAGACTGCGTAAGCTTGAATGCATACGACAGAGCAGTTCTCCCGTTCCCGAAGCCCCAAAAGTACGGAAGTGCCGCTACGATTGTAAGTATGTGGTGTTCCTTTTCGCACCGTAATGAAGAAGCGTAATTAGCTCGCCGTGAATGGGAGAAGTCCGTTAAAATTATATATATGATGCGGGCAGTTAACCGCACATCTACTTTAACACTCGAATAATCATCAGCGCTTCTGTAGCAATGTTCCCCACTGGACCAGGATGCCTATTGGGACAGTGTCCACTATACATAATGAACGGGCTTTTCATGAACATTTTAGGGACGGTTCAAGGTCTCCAAAAGACGCTCCGATAAAACAGCTCTCCATGCCTTCAACAATCATGCAAGTAAAGGTGCAACATGATCATAAGAGCTGCCACAGTTAACACTGTTGACCTAAAATCTCGGAAGTTGATTTTACTGAAACGATGCCAAACTGGTGCCACCATTATCCCCTTCTTTAACGAAATCTGTTTGAAGTTGTATGCAAAATTTTTGGCTGTATGTTGATGAGTCAAGTGTTCGTTTTTGGTGCTACTTCGGCGCCAGCGAAGGGAATTCATTCTTCTCTCACAGTCAGTCTTAGCTGAAGGCTAGTAGCATGAGCTACGAAAAACTCATGTTCTTGATCAAGACACTGAGCGACTCCTACGCAAAAAGCTTCGACAAAAAGCCAAATTTCGATTGAAGTTTTCCCCACAGCTCGGGATAGTACTCTAGTGTTTCAGGTGCAGTTTGAACCCACAATCGTGAGAATCGCACCTCCTATGCTCGAAACTGCCTGTCGTGTGCTCCACAGGCGTAAGCGTCAAAATGCGTCTTTTCGCATAGAGTTATTGATCATCACGAACTGCTTTAGGGAGTACCAGTCGACAAGTCAAAAGTAATGTTTGCTGTGAAGTAGTGAACTCGTTCTCTCACCTTAGCCCTATTGAATGTCTGATTGTTCACTTGTTCAACTATTATGATAGCGTAATCCAGCTTTTGCTTTGTAAGGAACGCATGCATATTGTTCAAGAGAATCCGAAGATGAGATTCCCTGTCACGATATGGAACGATGACTGCGACCTGGAAATGGACCCATTACAGTATACTCTGGCTATTGGCGTAAAAGGGAGAAGGCTGCATCAAAATCTAATTTTACGATTTACGACTACGATTTTCATAGGACTTGAATCAAAGTTCTAGCCACAGATATTTTAGTAGATGACAGGGCTTCTTGGCGACTTTCACAGAAAGATATAAGCACGCATTTTGTCTGCAACCAGCCATGACACCAACAAACCAAAGTCAAACAGGAACCGGGCTACAAATGTTGCAAGGTCACAATGCAGGTAATCCTACCGCTCATATCTGCTCTGAATTAAAGGAAGGTGTTGTTTTGCTGGAACGTCAATTGTTTGATTCCACATTTTGGGTGAGATATTTCGCTTCAAACTGCATCTCCAGGGGTCGCCCGACTGATTCCCATGATGAAGCTCTGCGTGACGCTTTAAGAGATAAGCTCAAAGCTGCTACGGGAAAGCTGGGGGCAACACTTGGGTGCGATCGCACAACAACTACCAGATGTCTAGAAACTGTAGGTTACACAAAAACGATCTAGATTTAGATCACGACGAAGGGAAAGCTTGCTGCTGGTGACAGGGGTGCATATGTGTCAGCTTTGGCTTCGGGACCAACACTGGCATGATTGAACTAGAGAAAAACTGCACGAACAAATGAACTGCGCTGTGTCGGTAAGATTCCAGAGGAATACCGCACTGTAAACTGCTGCGTCATGGAACGATTGAACCGCCAAAGTCTGCTCCCTGTCTACGGCAGAAACCTAAGCTAATTTGCCTGATAGGCTGGAAAATTGATAAGGCTATTTCTACATCATGACCACGCTCAACCTCGCGTGGCTAGAAAAATGCCGAACTCGATTGGGGTGTTGAACCGCATCCCAATTTCGTTGAGTTTTCATCGTCAGACTACGATTGGTTTCGGACACTGAAGCTGCAATGTTCAAGAAGAAAAAATTGACTATAAGAGGCTGGCGAATTTAGGATTGGAAAGTGTCGCGCTTGCTCGTCTTGCATTCGCGATAAGTATGAACTTATGGAATTGATGGTCCTGTCAAGCATTGAGAACACGTGAGGAACCATAATGGGCACTATCTCATAGCTGATATTTGCGAATGCTAAAAATATAATGCTTTGAAAGAAGTGCGAACTTCGGTGCAAAAGCCTCGGGATAGTCTAATGCATTAAACAAGTCAGCAGGTCAGGTTGATATTGTTTATTTGAAGTGTGATCCCCGTATCACTTACCCTGTTCAAAGCTTGGCAACCTGCTGGTACATGGTGACCTCCTGGTTGCAGATAATTGTATTTCACCTCTAACTGCTTCATTGTAACTTTTCCAAGAGATACTTTAATCCGTCCAGCAAAGTCCATTGGATTCAGGAAGCATTTGGTACAATTACTGTATTCGCCGCATGCAATGGCATTTTGGGAAGCAAATTCCCCTGAAATGATATTTACAGTGATCCCAAATAGGAACATGAGCCAGTGAATCATCTGCTTTTACTGCTTAGAAAACTCGAATGAAAAGGATCCACAGCTGTTTAGTCACAAAGATTTTTGATCGGTGTATTTTTTGAACCACTATTTTCTAGCAGTAACTCATCGTTGTATTCAAAAAGGGCCATCCAAAATCATACAGTGCGCATCATAATTATAGAGACACCCAAAATTTCCACTATTCCAAACTTGCCAGTCACTTTGAAAGAATATAGTGGTCACCTATGGATCTCCAGTCCAAAAACTGAACCACGTTTTGGAAATAATTTCATCACCTACTAACGTAATGGAAAGCATGTTGAAGTGATCATACGCAGTAAGATATACACTCCCCACTGCATCTTCGTTGAGAATTTTACACAGAACCAGGTCAAGAGCCATGCTCAAAAATTCAGCTGCAACATCGGAAATGTGGGCGAATGGCTACCGCTGGTGGTCATGCGGCTTGATGTCACCAATGCAGCCATCGCCGACTGGTCTCGGAAGATGATTTTCGATGTTACTTGTGAAGAAAAGAGCACGTGAGACAGAGTAGAAGTTGGATTGCCGGAGATGGCATGATGAATGTTCGAATAGCTCGAGATAGGCTTGAATTTGGCTGGATATTTCATCACAGTGACAGAGTGAGCCTGTGAACACAATTTGACACGCTCCTGGTGAGAGAACCTTTCTGGGATGTGTGATGGGCTTTGACGCGCCCAATCCTGGAAGTCTTTCGTAATATCGTACGAAGAAACGCTAAGCGGAATGGAAGCATCTTCGAAATGAGCGCTAGAAAATACATATAATCAGCGCTAGAAAATGCATCTGACTATGTAGACCTTATTAGGAGCATCAAAGCGAAGAATATGATTTTTATGTGGCCACTTCTACCTGGAAGCCTTCTCCCGTATGATGGTGCAACTTATAGTATACGCAGCAGAAAAAAATCCCAGCAAAAGGAAACTGTACAACTCACTTGACCAAGGCGACGTTGACAAACTAGGTAACAGAAAAGGATTACTCAAAAAAGTGATCATCTTTGTGGGGAAGATTTGAGAGAATAACTGAAAGGCTGCATTAGGTCAAGTTGAATAGTAACTAGAAGGTCACAAAAAATTTTTACCTCAGGTATGTACACAAACAATACAATCACGAGCATCAAAGCGAAGAATATGAGTTTTATTCGCCGATTCATTTGTATTGTCGTATGTACAAAAATGGTTTCTTTACCACAATCACTGTTGAAAAAAAGCGACGATTTGTGTGAAATTTGCAGTAATTATGATTATAGCCGCGATAATTTACGTCTAGTAGTACTCAGAAATCAATAACTGTATGCGATATACTACTAATGACGAGTATGCTACACAAATTAGAAGGGGTGCTGAGCTAACACCGCTTGCTCGTATCGTTTTTGATTTCCATTGAAGCAGGGTTTTTCATGCATGTAACCATTGTTTGCCTAACAAAATGTACTTTTCATATTGATGAACAGCAGCGTTATCCGTCGCGAGCATGGATTTATCCGAAAAAAAATCGAAAATTGGTGAATTATGTTCACTATGTCTTTGCTCATGCCGGAACTAGGCCTCTAGGATGTCTGATGTCTGTTGATGTCTTTCAGGCATGTCTGTTTCCATTACCCTTCTTCAAACTCCTCTAGGATCTAGTTCTGATATCGAATGACAAAATAAATAAGCGAAAAAATTCTGCTAGAACAAGCGCGAAGGGAAAGTTTCTCTCAGCCAACAGCCTTCTATAGAAAAAGATATTTCAACGTTTTTTAGTCTACACTCTTCACTCAGCATGGAGCGGAACACAGAGATATTGCGTGCCTGTTTGGAGCAGTGGCACGTAATATTGAACCATTACGTTGATGAATTGATGAACAGCTTCATGAGATAAAGTTTTGTTCAGTACTTTATATCTCGAATCCAGAATTGGCCACACAATGAAAGAGACCTAGCTATCAAATCAGTCCACCTAATGCATGTCAAATCAGTCACTCCAGCATGGTATGAGGGTCTGGCTTCAATGCTATTGTACGAGGCCCTCGACGCTGTAGCTTCGAGAGGCTTATATTTCTTAAACAGTCCTTATTCTGGATTGGAGGGCCTTTAGATTCAAAATTCAATCCTCATGATGTAAGTGAGGTTAGCGCAGTGCTTATCAGAGGGATGCCTCTTCTTCCTTCCTCTTTTAAACGTACCTAATTTACCTTACCAATGATAAGCAGTGGATTTCACAGTAGTAACGTACATCATAAAACTGAGTGACATCATAAAGAGTGGCAGGGTGTGTAGATTTTTGATCGGTACGGCGACAAGCAGGGACCGCAGAATGAAACCACCGCATTAATAGGATTGAAAATAAGCCACTGCGGCAGCTATTGAAAGGAAATTCATATCGTCGGGCACCTTTGGCATTACCCCCCCCGAAATGGAGCCAGACGCCTAACTCAATCTCATTGTTGCCACGTGTAGTGTCTCAGACGTTCTTGCACAGCTTTATTCCGATGGCCTTTGTCGTATGATCAATCAGCACCCCGTATTTCATTTAATGAGCGTCGTATCCGTCATCTTGTCAACGTCCCCATACCTTTAGTAGATATTTTTCATCACTACGGTATCATTTATTGAAATAGTTAATTACTGTACTTTATCATATCTTCACAAACTCAGCGATCAAACAACGCAAAGATCAAGCATCGAAATGTGGAGTTGAAATAACCATTGAAACCACAAATGATGCTATTAAAAACGTAAATAATATCAAGCACAGTCGATCGAGAGCCAGTGCAGCCTGGAAATGAATTTCCTCGGTGAATTAGCTAATTCCAAAGGCTCGATCCATGGCACCTATTTGGACGGGGCAGGGCCAACCATTGAGCTTTTTCAGAGACGCGCCCTCCTCTCTATCGTTCTAATCACCTGGAAGGGATGGCGCAGCAATGAGAAGAGTGTGCCTGACTCCGCCCATACAATAAGCGTGGACTTCGAGGGCTTCCTTTTCATCGCTTCAGTTTACATTGTAAATAGGTATTGATGAGATATAAGATGAAATCGTGTCACGATTGTGGAGTTGAAGCAAAAAAAGCGCTTCTGATGAATGAAACGCACCGCTATTTTTATGATGGCATGACTGACCATGACAAAAGCACATTTCATTCGATTCACTTTATTCGGAATGATCATGTTTCCATACAGGAATTCGAAAACATCCTCTTGTCGATCACTATGCCACGTTTAACAGCAGTGACAATTTGCGCCATCCGGGAGGTGGGCGTTACTTCCGGAAGTTGTTACAGCGAATGCTGTGCACACCAGTTTTCGTTCCTCCAGAGAGCAAACGAAGAGCGCGGTGAGCAGCTCACCTCAGAATGATACGCACGTTCGGGACTGCGTCTATCTCTCGCAAGTAGCGCTCCCGTCCCGCTTCAAACGAAAATTGTGGGGCTAAAAACCTTGGGACAGTGAGTTCAGAAGATTTTTCTGCAAATGTGGGAAAGAAGAATTGCGAATGAAAATACCGTCCGCGAAAGTGGTACACCAAGGAGCTTCTGCCTTTAGAATCAGGCAGCGATCTTCATCTTCATTGCGGAAATCTCGGTTTCGCGGAGAGAGCTTTTCTTATGATCCCACAAGGGTAGTGGCGCCGTATTGTGTGCGAATATAACCAAACCTGTTCATCTAAAGTCGCTCTCATCTGCTCGCTCCGATCACGGACCTGCTTGAGCCGTTTGAGAATCAAAGAATAACATCTAATGAAGGTTGCACCATTTTGGAAGTCTCTGCGCGTACCTGTGAACGAGAATCTTCTACACAGCACAGTTCCTTGTCTTATCAATTTGCCTAACACGAGCAGTCTAAGCTAATAATGTGGGCGGAGTCAGGCCAACTAGTCGCGCCTTCGTCACTGACTCGCCCCGTCTTTGTCGTATAACAAAA